GTTTCATATTAAAGAAAACTAAGAGGGGACATGACAAATAAAACGCAACTGCTTCAGATCCCGGACAGAGGGAGTACATTACTGAGACAACCGGTGAAAACTGAATACAGCCTGGAGACTAGGTAACAGTACTATATCAGTGTTAGTTTCCTGATTTTGATAACTATACTGTCACTGTGTAAGCTGTTAACATTTGGGGAACCTCGATGGAGACTACATGGGAAATCTTTGTAATATTTTGGTAGTTTTTTCCTGAGTTTGACAAAAAAAAAAGTAAAACCATCAAAAAAATAAAAAACAAAGCTAATAAATCAGAATAAACTCTTGCTTTTATATCATATCAAGTTATTTCTGTACCTGTGAAGAAACTATTACTGTTGACCCTGACTTTCATTGGGATAATAAAAAAAAGACATGTGCTAGGGCAGATACTCAAGTTAAGCAACTTAAACGACCATTGCTCCTTGCTAAAGGAATGAGAAGATAAAGAGAAGCCAAGAAAATCAGAAATAACCTTATACAATTTCTGCCAATATTTTTATAATAGTTTTAAACTGGCTGCAGTATTACCCTCTTAATGACAGTTGAAGATGCTTTGTGAGTCAGTAACTATACACAATGTTAGCACAATGGCATCACAGTGGAGTAGGGGACCAGAAAAGCACGGGGCTCTCTCACCAATGGGTTGTCTTGTACAAAACAAATACTAATGGCACCCTGACTGACACACACCCCTAGAGGAAGGTGGAGAAGTTGATCATGGGCAACAGTGAAGAGCGCATTTGTTACCATTGTCCCAGGTCAGTCTGAGAGGCCAGATCTGCAGAAACTCCTGATCAGGAAGGGCCAAGGGCTTGCCATCAGTCACACACCCCTGCAGGCAATCAGCTGTGACTTTAAACTGAGCTCTCCTGTGCTCCTTGAAGTACGAGGAGGGAAAATGTAAAGCAGAAGACTTTCCTAGCTACAGCAGGTAAGACACTTTCAGCACTCATGAGTGGGTAGCATGTACACCAAGATACTCACTGCAGCATTTTTTATACTGAAAAGCACTGGGAACAAGTTAAACATCCAGTAGGTAAGCTATAACATACCTCCACTGTGCCAGAAGAGCTGGGGTAGGTTTAACAGCTCTCTTGTTAGTAAACACTAAGTCACAGGCTGCAGCTGTTCTGAATTTCTATCAGAACAAAGAATTTTCATCTCTAAAGTACTCACCTTTCAGATAAGGTTGTATGAGCACACCTTTAGCGCTCAGTTCCTGGAGGTACAGCTCCTGAGTCACAGGGCATCTGCACCTTATTTCAACAGATAATCCAAAAAAGGCTGCATAAACGTACAACTCCCAGCAATGGGGAGAGGAGAGTGAAAGAGCACAGAGTAGGAAAGGTCCCTCCTGTCACAGGTCACGCCCAATAAGGGTCGAGAGCAGAACTACAGCTTTTGTAACTAAAACACATCAGGAAAGCTGTGAGCCTGCCCCAAGATGGTGTTAAGGAGCAATTACAGAAAATACAAAACTGTGGGAGCACAAACTTGGGTTAACAAACTTTCATATTGTAATGATTGTCTAACCAAATCACATTCTCACCTTTATGTAAACACATAAGAAATGTATAATCAAAACCCCTGCTTTCTATATTTGTCATTATACTGCTCCTTCAAAGCAAAATGTCCAAAAGCATGAAAGACTGAACTCTCTGTACCACTCACCGCCGTAACTGCGGGACTTCGCTCAGCTGCCCTGAAGCTGCTGTGCTAGCAGGGACCTGCTACGAACTGTCTCCTCACTGTGAAAAGCAGAGACATGCTTTGCTCACTTTGCTTAGTTCAAGGTCATAGACTCAGGGCTGCTTCTACTTATGGAAAACCATAGCTCATCCCTCGCCTGAACCGGCAGGACGTGCTTGGCTTACCAGGTGCAGGTTGATAGTGTAGGTCACTCCTGCTCACAGAAAACTGACTTAACCCTCAGCTGGGGGGCAGCTGGGCTGCTTCACGTGCTTAGATGATTTCTGATCATAGTATGGAGACTCTGTGGTGGCCTGGGGTTTCATTATCAATTATTCAGAAAACTGTAACCTTGCTCATATTTGTTTGAGGCTTAAAATAACCATTTGTATTAGCAATATTATTAACCTTCTAAGTATAAATTAAGATTATAGTTTTTGTTTTTCATGATCTGAAACTGCTGACCCGCATCCCTGCACATACCACATACCCCTTACTCATTCCTATGATGTATTTTACTTTGATTTTTTTTGAATATTTGCAATAAATATAAGAGCTTTGGAGCAGCTTGGGAGTCGGTCTCTGGCTCCCTCTCACTCTCTTGACCTGATAAAGTCTTGAGAAAATTCATTCTTCCACGGTGGGACTTTTGCTGGACAAAACCCATGACAAACAGAACTCACACAAAAAGATAGTGATCAAGAAAAAAATGAAACTTTCATGGCTGTACTCACTCAATTCAGTCTATTTAGTAAGAAGGCTAACCTCACAAAATCCTTTTATATTATCTTTTGTTTAATTTGTAAATTATTTTTTATGTAAAGACTGAAGCAATGAACAGGTGTTGTTGCTGTTTTGTCAAATGATTAGAAATTTGTTGCACCGTAAGACACCAAATCATGGGGGAGGGTACAGCTCAAGTAGTAGAGTGCAACTCCCAGTACCGCCTCTAAAAATGAAGAAACCTAGTTACCTATTCCCACCAAAATAAAAAATACTTATGTAAACCAATAATAAATAAATACATTTTTAAAAAATCATCAGATCTTCCAGCTTCTCCCTCACCAATCTGAAATGCTGCCTGCGATAAATACCTATGTATATTGAGGTCTCTTTTTCAGTACTTTACTCAATTCATCCTAAAGTGTTTTTGTTGTTGTTGTTGTTTTGACAGGAAAGTAGGATTTATTGGTGGCTGTGTGGAAGGAGGGGACAGCACCAAGGCTCTCATGAGTTCAGGGCCTACCATTTGTCCAGGGGGCCACGATTTGGGATGTAGTTGACCTCACAGCCATCCGGGATGAGCCACCTTTGTGCCACCATGTTTTCAAATTCATTTGTGTTGAACTTGGTAAATCCCTACTTCTTTGAGATGTGGATCTTCTGGTGAACAGGGAACTTGAACTTGGCCCTGTGCACGGCTTCAATCACATGCTCCTTGTTCTGCAGCTTGGTGCGAATGGATGTGATGACGTGGCCAATGTGGATCCTGGCCACCATGCCCTGGGGCTTTCCAAAGGCACACCGCATACCTGTCTGGAGCCTTCAGAGGAAAGCTGCTCATATTCATCTGACACCATTTTGCCACAGAGTGGAAACTCATCCACTTTTGCCTTCTTCTGCCCCAGGTCAAAGATGTGGGTCTTAGCATCAGGGACACCTCGGCAGAAGCATGGCTTTGGGTGTGGCTTGCTCTTACAGTACTGGTAACAGCAGGCGGGGTGGCGGCCCATGGTGACACCAGGATCTTCAGTGGCACGCAGAAGGGAAAGAGCTAAAGTGTTTTATTTACTGTCATTTCATGATACTTTTTTTTATATCAGAAATAGTCCTTTTGAAGATTGAAAAGCACACCTAGAGGCTTCAGAATGCAAAGCTTCTTAAAGGACTAATCCAGAAAATAAAGTCTGGAATTCTATTATTTCTGTTGAAAAAGAAGTTGGCATGACTTCTCTCCCGTTTTTTTCATCAGATGCATCATGGATACAGCAGGGAGGCCATGAACTTGGAAACACCTAGATTAGCATCGGGACCCTGCGCTGGTTGCATGATCCTGGGCAATTACTTAAATTTTATGATCTTCCATTGTTTTCACCTATAAACAAAGTCCAAACATCTGCACATTGTTTCATTTTTCCCACTTATATCCCCTTCTCTCTTTTTCTAATTATAGGTAATCACATTTCAAGTGGATACATATTTTAGAGAAATTATCCTGCAAGAAAAAAAAATGAGAATGTTCTCAATGTACTATTATGAAAAGACTTCTAAGATAAACTGTGATTTTTTTAAGTCTATATACTATGTTATATTTTTCCATATAATGGTAGAATAATGCCACTATACATTTATATCTGTGTGTGTATATTCAAAAAATACTCCAGAAATAATTTTTAAGTTTATGTAAAAATATTTCCTTTTTTAACAATTTCAGACATGTCAAAAGGAG